AGGGTCGCAGCATTAGGAGGCATTCGGAAGGTTGAGAACCACTGATCCAGAATAAAGCATTTGGCATTCCCATGTTCTGTGCAGGGGCGGGTCTAACTGGATGGTCCCAACATCTGCCTGGTATCCTACCAAGCTATGCTGGAGGGACAGTGAAGGACAGAAGAAGGAAGGCAGCTGTTATTGGTATTGGAGCCCTTCTGCCAGTTGCCTGGTTTGACTGTCAATTTGGAGTGTGGCCCATTGTTCAGTCTTCTGGTTACGGAAGGCCACCCTTGTGCGGTCTGCTCACCAGACTTTCCATCTACCAAGGCCTGGCCACAGTCCTCCAGACACAGCATCCTTGGAGGGCCAGCCAGGCGACAGGATGTGCAGGGTCTCTCTTCCTCTACCCTAACCACCCATGCCCTCCTTCTGGGCAGCTGAAGACAGCGGCAGCCCCACCAAGGAGCCATTTGTCCTCAAAGTGGCTTTTGAGGGAACAGTGCTAAGTCAGAAGCATTCCTGTCCCTGTGTTTACAGAGCCTCCCTGAGTCTGGGAAGCTCCCTATTATGGAGAGCAGCTGCCAGGCCTTTGGAATGGGAACTAGCAAACTCCAGTGGCTTCTTTGTCATTGAAGCCACATTCTGCACAGTCAAGTGTTTGGTTGGGAAAGTGCATAACAGATGCTGTCCACCGGGTGACTGAGACAGGCCCTGTTTTCCATGGCTCTGCTCCAAAGTTTTTAAAACTTGAATTGTTAAACAATGCTGTTAAAAGCGAGGGGTGACCTTGATACTATTTTGGCAGTTGGTGTGGTCTGGGCTCCTGCTATAGCCACTGCATAGCCCCCTCCATGTGTACTGGTTAAGTGGTGTTCCAGTTGACACTCCTAAAATTAAATGTGCCTCCCACTGGGCCCACTAGCACTTTACAGATGCCCCTCATTGGATCCGGCCACGTTCCACCTTACCTTGTGCAGTTGGGAACACAGAGGCTCAGAAAGGCCGTGTAACTTGTCCAAGATGATGCTGCTGACATGCAGAGGAGCCCAGATTTGAATCCTGCCCCTGGCAACTCCAAAGCCATGTGCCACCTTCTGAAATGTCCAGCAGAACATCCCACATGGTTCCTAAGTCTGTCTTAGAACCCTCCAAAGGGTTTCCCAGAGACCTGGGCCTGGTTGGAGGCAGCCCATGAAATGTATATCTCCTCTCACTTGCTCTGGGGCCCAAGTGAAAAGGCATAACCCCACTCAGAAAGGCCTGGTAATGTGGAAGGCCCCTGCCAACAGAAGGCTGGCCAGCACAGGCCTCTGTTGGGGGGAAGGCCTGTGATCCTCCATAATCAGCAGCAAAGTAGGCCCCAGATGGCCACGTCTCCTCTGTGGGCCCATGTGGGTTCATCTCCAAACAAGGCAGTTAAACCAACTGATGCTCAGTTAGGTTTTTTGCTTCCACCCTCTGTGCAGCCCAGGGGTCCTTAAGCATCCCACCTGGGTTTGAAAGAGGCCCATGCTAGACCCAAATACGCATGTTCTCATCTTCCCAAATGGCTGGCTCCCAGGGTTTAGGCTCAGACTGCTCCTCTTGGTTTTGTGAACTTGAGACCTGATCCGAGAGGTTCCTCCACCAGCCCAGGTCACATTGGGCCTCTCACTCCTCTTGGTGGCTTCTCTCCCTGGATCTAATCTACCAAGCGTTGAGACACCCCCTCTTCACTGTCTTAATATTTTCTACCAGATTTGTGTTGAGTCTCTGCTGTACACAAGCATTAGGAACCAGAGTGGCAGTGCGTGGGTCTCCCAGGTGAACAGGGCAACAGATGGAGGCCCAACAGATGCCCACAGATTGTTCAGTTACAAACCACAGTAAAGGAGGAGTGCAGGGCTCTGACAGCCAGCGCAGGACAGCCTCGGAGGCTCCAGGGGCTCCCAGCAGACATCATTGGAATCAAAAGCTGAAGAATGAGGGGTGGGCTAGGCAGAGAGGAAGCCCCGGTTCTCACATGAGCTGACCAAGACCCAAACGCATTTGGGCCAACTGAGAGCTAGACAGCCTGAAAACTACCATTGAGTCATTGCCCAGGGTCACCACAGTCCTACAGGACTTTTAAGGACAGAAACCCAAGCTAGAGATACTGTCTTTTCATTTTCTTTATTGTGTTAAACTATACATGCCGTAAAATGTACCTTCTCAACCATTTTTCAGCAGATAGTCCAGTGGTATTTCAGTCATTTTCCCTGCCCTGCTCTGGTGACATGATTTCTGAGCCTTGCTTCCACTCCCAAGTTTGCCTCTGGGATTGTGAGTCCTTTCTTCACAGTGAGATGTTCTAACATTTTTGTTTCAGCCAGTTAAAACTCACCACTTGGGCACCTGCACCTGGTCTCAGCTTCCCTGCTGGGGTTTCACAGGTGCCAATTACCAGATCACCACCTGGAGGGGTAACCCCATGGCTGGGGAAGGGGCCTGAGGAGAGTTACAGGACTCAGGGGCTATGCTGTGGGCTTTAGGGTATAACATTAAGAGTACTGAGAAATCCACTGGGTTCACTTAGCTGGAGTGGCCCTGATCCTGCAGCCACGTGCCCTGTCCTGCTCAGACTGTCCTGGGGATGTGGGTTTTCCTGTCTGAACTCCTGGTCCACATCTCAACTGACGGGCAGTTTGTTCTGTCCCTGAGGTTTCTGACTGACACCAGCTGTTGCTGATGACGTGAAGTCTTTCCTTTCCCATAGGACCAACTTTCTCTGTCCTTGACCCTTAGGTCTGCCAACCTCTCCTCATCTTGGGGGCAGGGTGGGGTGTCTTACCTGCATGGGAGACTGGTGCCCCACACACCAGCAGCCACCAGCCCAGTGGGGCACTGTCACCTCCCCTCCCCTCACCTCTCATTGGTGCTCAGCGTCCGTTGCTGCTCTGTGTCCCCTCTGTGTCGCCTGTGCTATCCCACTGTTAAAGGCTTTCTATGATCTGTCGCTGTGTTTTCCCTCTAGTCAGGAGTGGCAGGAAAGGACGCCGGCGAGTGTTCAGCCTGTCGGAGGCCGACAGTCACGGCGGCCACTGGGTTTAGTGCTCCGAACGGCAGCTGCCACGGCAACCCACGCACAGTCAATTCAGGCAGGTCTCCTCTGTTAGCCACTGGGGCTGCGACGTCCACTCACCATGCTGCATTTCCACAGCCGGTAGGGTCTGCACCAGCAAGGTGGGCCGGGCCGGGCCGGGCCTACGCGCAGAGAGCTGTGCACCAAGTTGGCGTTTCTTCAGCTCCTCCCAGCTGCCTGCCCTTCCTGCTCCCTTTGTGGCCTTGTCTCATCTGAGACCAAATCCCTGGTCCTTAACTGACCCTCAGGTCAGTTCTTCCAAATAAGACCTGTGCAGCCTGGAGACCCTGTCCCCCTCTGGGGAGGGCCCGTGGCACGTTCTCCTGCTGAGTTCCCTCAGACACCCCCAGTTTAGGCCATGGGGATTGGGCAGCGGTTGGCTGGTGAACTGACAATTTGTAAAAGCAACCAAGTCACCTAGTTTCTTTTTTTCTCCTTTTCTCCCCTGGCTTCACTCAAAGTTAGGTGGTAAAAGTCATTTCCTGTACAGTTGCCTCGATGGATGTGGCCCCATCATGCCCCTTGTACACATAGTCCCACACAGCCCATGCAGCCAGCCTGGGTCAAACAGGGGGCTGCTGCCCAGCAGCCTGGCTCACTGTCAGGGCGCCCCCTTCCAGTGACATTTCTTCTGTGATTGGCAGTTGCACTTGTCAGCTGGAAGCCTTTCGCCTTCTTTTTCATTTAAAAGCTGTTTGCTCTGTACTTTGCTCTCTGCTTGCTGTACAGATGTTCTTTTCTTCCCTGCATCACTCAGCCCTACCTTTCCCGGCCCAGCACAACAAATCCAGGTTTTTACTGGACACTCTCATTCACTCAACAAAGATCAATTGAGGTTCCAGCCCAAAGCTGCAGATCAGCTTCCAAGGTCCTGGTCAGGCACATGGGAGGCCCACAGCCTTGGTCCTCACAGGCCAGGGCTGCAGGGTGGCCCATCCACTGCTCACAGAAACACGGCCATCCCAGGGTTCCCATTCTGGCCTCAGCTCTCTCTGCTCCATGGCCAGGAAGTCAAGACTTTTCTCCCAACCCCTCATTTCCTAGGCCTGGCCCCAACTTGTGGCCTTAGAGCTCAAAAAGACCCATAGGCAAACAAAGCCAAAGGTTCATGGAATACCTTTGCAGCTGAGCACTTGCCCAGAAAATGTTTCCTCAGAGGATGATTTTTCCCTAGGTGAAAGTCTCGCAAAGGTCTCCTTTTTTCCTTTCTTGGTTAGGGTAAGTCTGCAGGTCACACTCAGGAAGCAGCTCTTAGTTTAAAACACTAATAATAAAAAGATAATGTTGTAGGTGGTGGCTAAGGAGAGGTTGCTTTTTGCCTTTTAAAAACAAATAGACTATTTTTAAAGGACAAACCAACTTTTTAAAACTGTTGATGCTTTTTAAAATTGTTGCCTAAAGAAGAAACTCGTTTTGTGTGTGAGGTTGGTTTGTGTGTCTGTTCTTTTTAATATATTCGCCTGCAGTGTTTCCAAATCCTTGCTTATCCTCATCACCAAAACCCCCATCAGGGAGAAGGGAAGAGGTGTGCCAGCTTTTTTGACTCTCTGCATGCAAATGCAGGCTTGAGCAAGGAGGGGAAACTTACATTGAGAAAGCATGAAGGAAATGCTTTGCCTTCCTGTCTTTGGATGGCAGGACAGCGCCTTTTGGAAAATTAGTCATTTCTGAACTTCCTCATCAGCAGCTGAACTTACACATGGATCCACATGTATGTGAGTTGGTAGATGCACTCATGCCCACCGGAGCAGGTGAGCCCCGCTCAGAGAACCACAGGTTCTTACCAACAGCAAGCCAGGACACGAGCCTGGTCTGACACCAGCCCAGTGCCACAAAGTGTCCCCACTGAATGGAGCAAATTAGTTGAAATTCAGAGAAACCAGAATATGTGTGTAATGTTCACTCAGCATTTCTGGACGCAAATCACGCCTCAAATCACTTTTTCCACTGTTGTCTATTGGTCCCCATCACTCCCCTCCCTGTGAGGACAGACTTAGCACCCCATCCTGTGGTTTCCTCTGGACATCTCTCTCTCTCTCTCTCTCTCTCTCTCTTTCTCAAAAAGCTTTAGGAAGAAATTAATTGGGACCTTTAGTGCTCATCTTGCCCAGAGTCTTGTGGGAAGAAAGGGTAATGTGAGCTTTGAGAGGTTTCCATCCACTGCTGTGCCTTCTGTCCCTGCTCAGGACTCTCCTGTCCTGCCTCCCCTTCTGTATGCTGTTTGGTTTTATTTTGTGCTTTACTTTTTCATTCTCTTACTCTATGTTCAGTTTGCTGTTATTTTATTTTGGCCTAATTTGAAAGAAAAAAATAAATAACTGGAAGCACACTGAACGAAACAAGGTCTGCTGTCATTCCCGGATGCAGAATCTACTAAAACCTTAGCTCAGCAGCCAGCCCCTCTGCCCATGGCTTGTTGATCCTCTGATGTGCACAGACAGGAATTTGCTTTCCAAGTGGGGTGTGCACACAGCCTTCTCAGTGTCGGTGAATGACTGGCATCCGACGTCCTGGAAGGTACTTTGCACATTGAACTCTAGTTACCTCTGGTGTTTGTTTCTCTCAGATAAGGCAACCTTGTCACTGGAAAGCAAATAGGCCATCATCTGTAGAATTTTGAAAAGCACCAAGAAAAGAAATGACCATTCCAAAACTAACTGCACCAGGTGCAACCTCACCTGCCTCCCCCCATATGGTTTCTCTCCACCGCCCTGTAGAGAAGCTAAGGATAGCAATGGCCTGAGCAATCACATCCCTCCATGGTGCTAACATGGCCAAGGTTTTATTTTGATTTGAAAATTCCTTTTTTAAAGAAAAAAATATATATATTACAATGAGTTCCCCTTTGGATAAATGTCACCAAATGTAGACCTTGTAAACAGCCTGAAGTTACAAGCATACCAGCTCGAGGATCTAGTAGATGGTCCAAGATTCACCCACATGTAAAGCCTGACCGGACCAGGTCTCTGCACCCAGGAACTGTGCTTTTGTAATCTGCATACTGATTTTCACAGGCCCCCATTTCACAAGTATCACAAGTCAGGGTACCCTAGGGCCCTGACACATTTTTCCCCAGGCCTACATAGGACTGGATTTAGCAGCTCTGTGTCCCCAAAAGGAGTCAGTAGAGCCACTCTGTGCCCCCAGCCCCAGCCATCTCCTGTCCAGCTTGCCCTGGGCCTTGGTGCAGTCCTTCGACAGTGGGTCCAGTGTGAACAGAGTAGCCCCAGGGCTCAGGGTATTTCTGTTTTTTTCTTCCCCCACCCAGATGCTCCCACAACTCCAGAACAGCCTCAGCCTCACCTTCCTGACCAGTTGGTGATCGTAAGTGAAATGGAAGCAGACTCCAAGCCCAGCAAGACTGTGGCCAGGGGCGCAGCCCTGGAGACAGCCAGCCTGTCCCCCAGCCTGGTCCCTGCCCCACAGCCCACCCTCTCCCTGCTCTGCGAGGATACTGCCGACACACTGAGCGTCGAGTCCCTGACCCTGGTTCCCCCTGTCGACCCCCACAGCCTCCGCACCCTCACCAGCATCCCCCCATCACCCACTCCAGTCACAGTGTGCACAGGGCCCCCAGGTGAAGACACTGCATGTGCAGAGCCTGCAGACCCTACCAGCCACTGAGTCGTGCTGGGGCCTCCCTTTGTATGTTTGGCCCCCCTGGCAGGGACCCCAGTGTAGCTGATTGGCAAGACGCATCAGGAACAGCAACCATCTCAGCCACCTGTCCTTGTGCCTCTGCAGTTGGAGGAAGACCGTGCTCCATTTGAATCTTCAGGAGCAGGCTGGGGCCAGTGGAGACCCCTCCCAACGAGTGCAGAGGATGGTGGTGGCTGCCTCAGGAAGGAGAGTGGGGCCTTGTCTCTGAGCCAGCTGGAGTAGCAGGACCCACTGGTGCCTCTCTCTTCAGACCACTCCTCTGTCACCATCCCCAGGACACTGAAGACTTGGGCCAGGTCACTTTAGGAGGATTTGTAGAGATGTGAACTTAGATAATACATTTCCTTTGGATATTTATTTCTGCTTTTGGCAGGAGATGGAAAGCATTTCTTTGAAAAGCATCTATTTTTTAAAAAGTCCAAAAAACTCTTCAACGCTAAGCTTTGATGTCATGTTAAAAGTGTAACAACACCGTTGAGATTTCACTTTCATTTTCACTCTCTCACCCTTCCCAGTGTTTACCTGCAGACTGCTCAATGTGGCTTTCTCCATTTATTCAAGTGATTTTTATTTCTTTGTTACTTAGTAACTCTGCAAGCCTGTGGAATGAGAAAGTACCTTCCTGGAAATTTTATTTTTTAAATAAAAATAAGGGGGATACATGTATTCTCAGGTACACAGAGAGCTGAGAGGGCCACAAGTTTCTCTCCTGTTGCAGCCGAGAGGCCTGTGTTGCCTATAGGAGGTCTCCCCTCAGAAGAGGAGGACACAGCCAGCTCCCTACTCAGGACATGCTGTGTTCCTCTCTCTTTACAAAAGCCAGATGGGGATGGTTTCCAGCATCGTCTTCAGTGTTGCCATCTCTGTCCAAGAAAGAATCACAACCACTTGCAGCCATGATGAAAGAAGATAACACGCCCGCCCCCATGTGTGGGGCCCAAGTGACGCCCAGAACCAGCACCCTCCCCAGCCTCAAAGGACATGGCCTGAGAGGGACTCTGAGTCTGTCACCTCTTCCTCTCCACTACTGCTGCTCCTTTTAACATGACACCACAGGTCCCTTCTTCGTGTGTGCTGGGTGTGAACAGGCTGGGATGCAGGTGTGTCTGCTGCAGCACCAAGATAGTCCTTTCTGCCTGGCCAGCTTGTAGCTGGACGTGGCTGAGTGATTCCCCACCTCTCTGGTCAATGGCAAGACCTTTCACAACTTTCTTCCAAATATGTCCACTAGGAGTGTTAGCATGCAGGGTGTCAGTGTCTGCCAAAGCCCAGCATTATGGTGGCCCTAGGAGGCACCTCAAGATCTCACCATCTGCCTATTAGAAGAACACAGTTCTTACCACCCCCATCAAACAGCTGTCCTGCCAAGGCCAGCTTCAACCTCCTGAAGGAAACAGTGTTCCTGCCAAGAAGGAGCAGCAGCACCCTGGGACAGGTCTCACCAGGCATCAGAAGCCCCCTGGGTGGGTGTGACACCAGTGTTCATAGCCATAGGCATGAGGACCTTTGGCCTTCAACAGAGAAAAGATGAAAGGGGCCATGTGGGCAGAGATTCCAAAGAAGGACAAGCCATGACCATCAGCAGAGCCCCTGGGGAGGGAATAAAGATGAGGCAGAGAAGGGCAAAGGCACCAAGGAGGAAGGACCCTATTATTGGGATCTAGGTACCCTGTGCCCTGGCAGCCAGCCCACGTTTTATAGGAAGGTGGAGCCCATCCTGAGCTGGCTCACCCAGAGCCATGTACTTCTCGTTTTGAAATGATTCTGTCTTTGGGGTGGCAGAAATGAGAAAAGGCAAATGACTCCCCTGCCCAGCGGCATGACCATAGCTCACCAAACACCACAGGGGTGGGCCCAGGCCCTCCCAGATCTGCCACTAGACATCCAGAGGTTCCAGCTGGCCTCGCTGCCACCGAGCACAGTAGAAAAGGGGCCTTGGGCAAGGAGTGGACAGCACCCCAGGAGAACCATGCCCCTGACCAGAGGAAGCCTGACCTCCGAGAGGGCTTGTGAGGCCATTCCCAGGAACCTGTTTCAGCTGAGGGCTGGCACCTGCCTCAGCACACCAGCAGGTGTGTAGGGTGGGGCTTCCCTTTAACCAGGAGCTCCCTGATACTCATCTTGTGCCAGGAGGTCTGAGAGCTCAGAGGAAGCAGACGGCCCTATGGCTCTGAAGAATCCCACCTCACCCAGGCACCGCTGTGTCTCAAGTACCCTGCAAACCTAACAACTAGGGCACTCCCAGACTGGCCTCCCCAGACAGGACATACTGGGTCTCTGGCATGGGACAGCAAGAGCTAGAATGTGGGGTGGGCCTCATTACAAACCCCTCCAGCCCACCACCTTTGAGTCCCTGCAGAGGGCACTTATGGCCTGGACCCTGCCCCTCACAAATCCACCATTGGCCCACTGGGTGTGCCATGTCAGTCTGGCCCCATAGACCGCCCCCCCCCCACCAAACCTTGGCTTTGAAAGTTGTCGTAGAGACGTACATGTCCTTTCTGGTTTGGAGGCACAGGCAGGCAGGTAGGCACCATTCCCAGCAGGTCTAGGCAAAGAGGGGTCCTGTGAGCAGGCTGGCCCCCTCTGCACAGGGCTCAACACTTGTGTTAACAAATGATCCAGGGGCTAAGGGAGGATACACCCGTGAGATGTGTGCTGAACTTCTCTAAGATGCACTGCCCTAAAGAAGGCATGGAGTGAACTGATTGTGATCTTGTCTAGATGCAATAAATATGGAATACTTAAGGTCGTCATGTTGACATGGGTATAAACTGTACTGATCCTTCTGTCCCTTTCAGCTAAAAATATGTAAATAATTTTTGTCCCAGGGAGGGGGAGGAGCAGGGGGGTAGGAGAGGTTGATGCTTCTGAGCCTCGGGACCATTCTAGGGAAGAACCTGCTTTTGCCAGCATGACTCATGCTTCGTGGATACAGAACACGAGGGTGGAAATGAAAACTGGAACTTTCTTGTAAATTGAACTTGGCAATAAAAGAGAAAAATGTTACCAAGAATGTGGCATGCTGCTCCTGGGCACCGAGGCAAGAGGCCGTGGCCTGGCAGAAGGGAAACTTCTCAGCAGCCTGACCCCTCAGCCTGTGTTAGTTGCTGAGAGGGGCGTGCGGTGGCTCCTCCCAGCTCCCCAGGTCTCTTCCCAGCCCCACCCACAATCCACCCTTGGGTTCCAAGTACCTCTAAGGCTAAGTATAAGGCCTCCAGCACAGTTGGGCGTCCCACCCTCCCCTGCCGGGTACAGTGAGCTCGGTCCGTTTTCTGCATCCCTCACCTGTTGGGCAGGTGGCTTCCCACCCAAGCCTCCGATTCTGCACCTGTGGAGTGGAACAGTCCCAGCCCTAAGTCTCAGGGCAAGCACAGGGAGCAGCTACATTCCTGAGATGGAGGAGGCAGAGAGGCCCCCCACCAGGGGCAGGGTGAGGTGCCATGCTAGGTCGGCACAACTCAGAAACATGCCTGCATGCACCAGCAAGCCCTGGAAAGTCCTGGCAGCCACACCACAGGTTCTCCAGCACTTCTGACGCTACACTTCCACCCAGCCCAAAAATGGCCAGAACGTCTGGGTCTTGAGAACAAAGCCAGGATGAATGCAAAGAATAAACAGGGAACCCCCTCATGCCGAGGGCTGAGGCGATATAGGTGGAAGGAGGAAGCTGCTGTAGAGGGCGGCTCCCCTCCACACCCCAGCCTCACTGGTGGCCACAGGGCCCTTCTCCACTTTGTGGAGTTATTCCAGATCAGTTCCTTGGATCTCTGACCCCCAGACGTGGGCCTACCAAGACACAGGTCTCCTGGGTTGGGCTGGATCCCCACTCTGCACCATAGCCTGGCCACTGCAGGCCTTACCTACTACCCAGGACAACAGACCAGGGCCTGACCTTGCAGCCCACGTTCATCCCCACAGCTGCCCTGCCACATGGCCATTCACACATCTCCACTTGGGTCTAAAGAAAGGAACTTGCTGGAAGGATGCCCAGGAAGAAGGTAGAAGATGGCCTCAGATGGGCAGGGCCAGGGGACAGTAGCTGCTGTGGGTTTGGCCCCCTCCCTCCCTTTCCCAGGTGTCTATAGCACTGGCCAGGCCCTGAGGGTGGGGAGACATGGGGTGGGGGGCATAGATGAGGCAGCATCTTCTTCACACAGATAAGAACGCTGAGGCCTATGGGGCTCAGCAACCTTCCCGCAGACTGCTGAGTGAGTCCCGTGCCTGCCCTCACTCTCTGTGCTGCCGTGTGCTGGTCTGAAAGACTGCAGGTCCACATGTCCCTGGACTGTGGGCAAGAGGACAGAAGCAAAGCAGCAGTTCGCAGGTGTGAAGGGATATTAGAATCATCTGGGACACGCTCTGCCCCACACCTAGCCCATGAGACCTGAGACAGTTCAGGCGGATGGCCCCAGGCACACAGCAGGAGATGGGTAGCAGTGGCTCCTCCTTCAGGCTCTCTCTTCAGGAGGCAGAGTCTCAAACCACCATGGCCACGTCCTCTCTCTGAGTTCAGTTCACTTCTCTGTAAAGGGAGGACATCACAGCTGGCACCTGTTCTCACGGTGGCCAGGGCTGAGAGTGGCACAGGCTCAGGGGAGACGCCCTGCAATCAGGACTAGGGGATGCTTGGCATGAGCCCTGTTAGCTGACAGTTCTACCTGTACCCCCCAGCCCAGGCTCACAACCAGTCATCACCCGCTGCTTGTTTGGAGAGTGGAGGACAGTCACAGGGCCTCTTCAAGTCTGTTCACCCAGAGCATATGTGTGCCCCCTTCATTCCCACAACTGCTGTGGATCAGTAGTTGGAAGGGGTTCCCCGGGGCATAGTGTTGGAACCATGAGCCAAGGCCTGGAGGGAGGGGCCGCAGGGCAGGTAGTGGCACTCTGCCTGCCATGACCCCAGAGCCTGGCACTCAAGGGGAAGACCAGCTACTGGAAACCCCCTTCCCCTCCGGTCCTTCTTCATGGCACTTCAGAGTGGTGGGAAAAATCCCTCACTTGCTACAGCACTTTTCTCCAAACTAAGATCTGCTCTGAATCACCAGACTGGACACACTTTGGGCTTCCCAAGATTCACTGAAGAGTGTCCACTGGGCACCTCCCCTGTCCAAAGGCCACGGGATCCCTGGCCCTACTCTGCCCACATGTCCACCACCTGTGCCAACCTCCCCATCTAGACACACCACCATGAGCTCACTCCGTCGTGTACAGCCCAGTCTCTCCTCCCCACTCCATGTGCCACCCAATCCCAAGTGGTTCCCTCCAGAAGCAGCCCAGGCCCAAACACACGCAGCTCAGACCTACTGTCACTTCCCTGACTCTTGACCTGCCATTTAAATTCTGGAAACAGAGAACCAGAGCAGCTTAAAACAACAGATATTTACTCTGTTACTTACTTTAGAATCACAGGTGATTCTGGAGGCCATGAGTCAAAAATCCACACATCCTGTGTTTAAAAAAATCAAGGGGGCAGCAGGGTTGGTCCCCGGAGGGAGAATGGGTAACCTGCCTCTCCCAGCTTTGGGTGGTCCTGGCAGTTCTTGGCCGTTCTCTGCTGTGAGCCCCACTCCAGCTCTGCCTCTCTTCACACGTTCTCTTGTGTCTTGGTTTAAATCTGCCTCTCCTTTCTCTTATAAGGAATCAGCCATTGGATTTAGGGGCCACCCTGGTCAAGGATGATCTATCAAGAGCCATCATTACACCTGCAAAGACCCTATTTCTGGATAAGGTCACATTCCCAGGCACCAAGTTTGAGGACATGGACATATCTTTTTTTGGGGGGGGGATCACCATTCAACCCATAACACCTGACAGAAATTAAAGATACCATAAAAACAAACACAGTAAAAGCAAATACACATAACTTTGTTTTTTTTACTGCAGTGGCGTCATCACAGCTCACAGGGACCTAAAAGTCCCAGGCTCAAGCAGTCTTGCCTCAGCCTCCCAAGTAGCTGGGACCACAGGTGCTCACCACAACACACCGCTAAATAGAACTGAGTTTTAGCCAGGTGGCATTACTTGCCACAGGCTCTGGGCTTGCCCCCTCCCTGTTAACAGGTTAGCCCCTAATCAAGACTTTCTCTTTAATAGGATCAGAAGGTCACAAGGACTGACAGAACAAAAGATCCAGCTCTGGGGCAAGGTTCTTTAAGTCTTTGTCCTTGTACACCTAAATGTCATCTCGAGATCACCAGACAGGAGATGCTGCCATGGTGCACACAGGTCATGGTTTGTGGGCTCCAAATTCCCACAGCCCACATTCCATTCACCTCCTACTATGCCTGTGGTCCTGACCTTTAGCTCCATCCTGTCTGTGTTCACAAGGGCAAGCCTGTTTAAGGGCCTTACTTTGCCACCATCAGATATTCTGTGTCCCCCAGCCTCCCCAGCTGTCTGAGCTGAATTTGAGCTGTGTCTGGTACCTTAGCATCCAGTGAAACCACATGCAGGACCAGGTGGCGGGCAGCACAGGCCATAGAGCCAGCTGATGGGGTTCAGGTCCCTGCACTGATGTTCCCAATCCCTGTGGACTTGAGCATGTGGTTAAAATCTCACTAGCCTCAGTTTCCTCATCTATAAAATAGGAGCCCCCCCCCCGGCAGTATCCTTGCTTATGCAGATAGAGTAGGGGTAGGTAAATTAAGCACTCCAACCTGGAGTGTGGGATCTCAGCTAGGGTGGGAGGTGAGGCGTCTCACAGGCTGCCAAGCTAGAATCACAGAGGGGCTTTGAAAAATATACCTGCTGCCCAGGCACCCTCAGATACATGAGCCAGCATCCTTGGGGTATGGTATGGCTGAGGCCTGGAATTTTTTAAAGTCCCCAGGTGATTCTAAAGAGCAGCTGTGATGGTTAATTTCATGTGTCAGCTTGACTGGGCTAAGGGATGCCCAGATAGCTGGTAAACCATTATTTCTGAGTATGACTGTGAGGATGTTTCTGGAAAAGATCACATGAATCAGTAGCCTAAGTAAAGACAATCATCCTCCCCAGTGTGGGTGGCCATCACCCAATCCATTGAGGGCAAATCTGCCCTCTCTCTCTGATCTGGGACATCTGTCCTCTCCTGCACTCGGACATTGGTGCTCCTGGTTCACAGCCCTCCAGGCAGGAACTAGACCATTGGCTTTCTTGGTCTTCCCGCTCATAAACAGCAGATTATGGGACTTCTCAGCCAATTTCTATAATCAGTCTCTGTCTGTCTATTCATCTACCTCCTATTGGTTCCACCTCTCTCTAAAGAATGCTGGTTGGTCCAGCAGCTCCGATGAGAATCCAGCCTAGCCACTGCCCACCCCTCACTGCAGCATGCAAGCCCTCAGCCTGCCCGGGAAGACTCCCAGCTCGTGTCCACCCCAGGGCCTTAGCCCCTGCCTTCCTTCCCCTCAAGCCTCCTCTCCTACTTCCATACCTGCGCCACTCTTCATCCTCCAGTTGCAGGCAGCATCAGTGTCACCTTCCAGAGGCCGTCATGACATCATGCCCTGCTTTCCTCAGTCACAGCAGCCACCTGTTTCATTCCTGGCACTTGTCACACCTCTACGGATATTTGTTTCTTTGTTTGCCACATTCGACTCTCATAGTTTTCATTTGGGAAACCCCGACAGCAAAGCCTAAGAGAAGGACAGGGGTGCAGGAGGTTTATTTGGGTGGGAGCCCTAGGAAGCAGGTGTGGCAAGCCAGAGAGAAGGGCAGGAAGCCAGTAAACAGGGCTGGTCAACACTGGGCACTGCTGTGGCCTTGCTGGGGACACTGTGTAGGGCCGTGTAGGATGAGCCTCAGGGCTGGCCCTGGGAAGGGCAGGAGGTTGACCACTTATCCACCAACTCTCACGCCCTGTCAGTTAAGGGTTGTTCCAGGCTATGGGTGCAGGAGATTGTCTCCTCCCAGCCACCCTGCCTGGAGCCAAGCCAGCTCCTGAGCCAGCTCCTCCTCTACACAGAGTGGAGCCAGACAATGTGTGGCCTTCTCTGTCTGGCTTTTTTCACTCAGCATAAT